TGATAAGGAGTGATGAGAAGATTAACAGTAATAGTAGTGCAGACTTTGTAATAGTTGAACAGTGTTGAGGGAATTATTTGTTTAGCAGAGTGATGGCTTTCGGGGAAAAACTGTTCTTGTGTCTAGTTGTTCTGTTGTGCAGTGCTCTATAGCATCATTTTGAGGGAAGGAGTTGAAACAGTTTATGTCCGGGATGTGAGGGTTCTGTAAATATTTTCACAGCCCTCTTTTTGACTCATGCAGTATACAGGTCCTCGATTGAAGGCAGCTGGGTAGTAATTGTTTTTTCTGAAGTCCTAATTATCCTCTGAAGTCTGTGTCTGTATTTACACCAACTGTAAAGAGTGAAAGAATCAGGCTGGCACATGGTCATAAAATTTGGCATTTTGACATAACTACTGCATTTCTAATGCAGAATTAGAGGAAGAAATTTATATGGTTCAAGCACAAGCGTATAAAAGTAAAAAGCCTGATATGTGTAAAAATCAAACAAGGCCATTTATGGGCTGAAACAGTCAGCCAGGAATTGGAATATATTTCTAGATAAGGCATTGAAAGGTCTTGGGTTCAAGAGTTTCAAGGCTGATAGTTGCGTATATGGTAGAAAGTTACAAGGTGGGGATTGTCAACTATTAGCATTTGTGGATGATCTTTGCTTCATTGCAAAGGATGTATCACAGGTAAACATGTTTGCTAATAAGTTGGAGAACAAATTTGAATTAAAGAATTTGAGAGAAATAAAAAAAAAATCTCAGTGTGGAGATACAAAGAACTGAGAAAGTTGGTTATATTCTCAGTCAAAAAAGAAAAATTTAACAATTGTCAGAGAGATATAACATGAAAGATTGTAATACTGCTCCAACACCTATGAGTAGTTTGGGTTAAAGTGAAGCCTATGATCAAGAGATATATCAGTCAACAATAGGGAGGCTGCTGTATCTATCACAGTGGTCCAGACCAGACATACCTTGTGCAGTAAGCATGTTGAGTCGCTTTACTGCTGCACTAATGCAATTGCATTGGATGGGTGAAAAAAGAATTCTCAGGTATTTGAAGAGAACTGTGATTTTGGGTCTTCAAATACAGGTCTCTGAAGAATTAAAATTGAAATGCTATGTTGATAGTGATTATGCAAAAGATGTAAAAAGCAAAAAGTCCAATTCTGGGATTGTGATATTGTTTGGAGGGGCTTTAATTGGTTGGAAGTCCAGAAAGCAAGCAAGTGTAGCCATTTCTACTGTGGAGGCAGAATGTATTGCTTTATCTAAGTCTATGAGGATAACATTGCCTGCATTAAAATGGCAACAGGTGACAGAGTAAAAAATAGAAGCAAGCATATTGTAATGTAAGAGAAGCCATCAAAGATAAATTGATTAGCTTGCTTCACTGTGCATCAGAAGACAATCTGGCTGACATAATGACCAAGCCATTGGGTAGAGTGCACCATGGGAAGCATATTAAGTTAATTGGATTTATGTCTCTTCCAGTCATGAAGGGAGGGTCTCAGAATATTCATGAACTGGCAGAGATATGGTTAACAGAGCCAGCAAATGGGAGCTGAATTGGGGGCTGAGAGTCTGGGCATGGCTTAGGTCTGTGCTCTCAACTCTGAAAGTGAAACTAGTAATCTGTTCTCAGTCCTGGAAGCTATTGTTTGTGTTTTGCTTATGTTACATTGGAAGAAACAACTGGCATTGTAAATTTTACTTCAATATGTTATTGTGTATATAAAGAAGTTAATGATCCTGCTGAATCTGTGTTTTCTGGACTTGAATTTGCTACAAAATCTCACAAACTTGTTGGTGTCAGCTGAGCAGTACTTCCAATCAGAAGAGTTTCAAATAATGGATGAGAAAAATGTAAATGCCACTCACTTCCTGCTTTTCTGAGTGGCTTACAAAATCATTTTAAAACAATTAAAAGCCCCCAAACAGGCAACTTACATTTATACTATACTTCATTGCCTTTCAGTGAAAAGTTTGGCCACTATAAAAGCTAATCTTTCAGATGTTATGCAACAATACCTATTGTCAGGATTCCAACATGCACCCCCATTCAAATCACAAGTCTCTAGCCGCATCGGAGTTGATATGTTGGCATTTCCCAATTGCAGCTGACTGACACATCAATCATTTCACTCTTGACCCTGGTCTTCCCCCACCCCCTGGATGTATATTCTCCAATGAGACACATCCATAGCCAAGAGTCATCAATCATCTCTCTAGTAGTAATCTTGCATGCCAGAAACTTAGGCTGCCAAGGTGATTATCTGAAGCATTTAAGGAATGCATTGCTTCCCCCCCCACCCCGCTCCCTTTCTGCTGGCAACTAAAAAGACCAAATAATTATTTTTAGTTGACATTCAGCTCCCCTCACTTCTTGAGGTTACCTGTACAACACAAAAAGAAAATAAATGTATTGCAGGTCTAGAACTTAGGGTTGCTGAACCCCTCCCCCCCAGGTTTGGTTTGGTTTTCTGCATGGAACCTCATCACAAGGTGATTGGCTTGGACGTTCCTACTCTTTATTCAATATGCCTCTGATAAGGGGTAGCCCTTCCACTTGATTAAATATTGGAGTTGTCTCCTGTGTCACTGCGAATCAAGGATTCGCTGCACTTCATAATGGGTTTGGCCCACTATGACCACAGGGTCTGAGGATTCATGAAGTGGTGGCCTCAGGATCAATCCTATCACAGGTTTTAAGAGGCTACTATGGAGTACCGGGTGTATTTTCCCTAACAGTTTGAAGTTGCCCTGTGACTGGGTTGATGACCTTTATTATGGGGAAAGATCCCATGAACTTTGGCCCCGACTTCTTACTAGAGAGTCTTAACCTCAAGTATTTGGTGAAGAGGTAGACCTTCTCCCCCACCTGGAATGGCCTTTGTGGGGCCCAGTGTTTGTCTGCCTGTTTCTTATTGCTCTGTGCTGATTTTGCCAGTGCCTTTTTTACATTCTCCCAAGTTGCTTTCAGGTTGACATCCAATCGATCAGGCTGACTGAGGAGGGGGGATCCCTTGGATACTCAGGCATTGGGACGAAGTCCATTCCGCTCACTACTTTGAAGTGGGTTAGTCCCATGCTACTGTGAACAGCATTATTGTACGCAACCTCCACAAAAGGCAGGAGGTCCACCCAATTGGATTGCTGATAATTCACGTAGCACCTCAGATACTGCTCTACCATGGTGTTCAATCTCTCTGCCCCCCATTGGTGCTTGGATGAAAAGCTGAGCTAAGGCCCTGGGATGACCCAATAGCCTGCAGGAACTCCTTCCAAAATTTGGCCATGAACTGGACTCCTCTGTCTGAGATAATTCTCCATGGCACTCCATGCAGGCAGTAGATGTGTTTCAAAAACAGCTTGGCTATCTGGTGGGCTGAGGGTAGCCCGCTGCACAGTGTGATATGCGCCTGTTTGGAAAATAAGTATTACAGTCCAGATCACTGTGTTTCCTCCACTTTTCGGTAACTCAACTATGAAATCCATTGCAATCTCCTCCCATGGTCTTGTTGGTTCCGCAACCATCTGTAGCAATCCAGGGGGTGTCAGCTGGTGCTCCATTCAAAATCCAAGAAAGAAACACTTAGACTCCATTAATTAAAGATTAATTAAATAATTAAATAATTAATAAAAGATTCTTTCTTTCTTCCTCTTGCCATGGTTCTTCACTCCTACACTGTGGAGTGGTGGTCACCCTGGAGGGGGTTCTTCCTCCAGTTCCTTCCAGCTGACCCCCAGGGACCATTTAGGTTTTACAGCTGGCTTCTCATTGAGAAGTAGCCTGGCTAGCAGCTTGGGCTCCCCTGCAGCATCTAAAAGCAGGGAAATTGATCTTCCAGTAGCTCCCAGATCTTCTTGGTCGCTGGCTGGATTGGACATTGTTTTCAGACCCCCTTGGAAGAAAAAGTATTAATTTTCCAGGTGGGCTGGTAAACTGAGATTCAGAATAATGTCAGCTGGTGCTCCATTCAAAATCCAAGAAAGAGAAAAGGTATCTTTTACTGGAAATCAAGTGATAGCATCAAAGGAATTCTGAATCTGAGGAATTGAGTGTGAAAATCACATATACAAAGTGATGGCAACGTTCCCACCCACAATAGTTCAAACTGTCCATCCAATTAAAAGTTGTATGTAATGTCATGTGGGCATCTTTTTTTTTTTTTGAAAACAATTTTATTGGTTTTTAAAGACAAACAAAACAAACAAAACATAAAAACATCCAGCTTTCTTTCATATATATACAAGCAGTGTGTTGGTTGGTTTACCAATTTTTTGTGCATCCATTTCATAGTCTCAATTACAGTTACATTACATAATAACTCATATTATCAATCAGAAATTAAATACCCTAGTATCACTATTAAACAATCATTTGACTATAATTTTATTCATTCATACTTTGTGCGATAACTATAATTTACTTAGTTTATTTTATAATAAATCATATAATCATACCAAATCTATCCTAAAACATTTTTATAGATATAATATATATAAAAAAAAGAAATATATCTTTATATATTCATTATTTCCTAAAATTCTAGATATTCTATTATTGTATTTTATTATCTAACCATTGGTAGAAAAGGTCCCAAATTTTATAAAATTGTTTATCCTCTTGTTCTCTAATTTCAAATGTCAATCTACTCATTTCAGCACATTCCAATATTTTCTTAATAATTTCTTCCTGCGATGGTATTTTCTCATTTTTCCAGTTTTTAGCAAATACAATCCTAGCCGCTGTTAATACATTTACAATCAGGTATTTCCAATCTTTACTATATGTATCAGGTAAGATTCCCAATAAAAAGATCTCTGGTTTCAAGTCTATGTGTTTCTTTGTCATTTTTTCCAACCACATGCGAATTTTAGTCAAATATTTTCTAGCGTCCTCACAAGTCCACCACATATGGTAATATGAGCCAGGTATCTGATTTCCAGCATTTTTCAGATTTATTCTTGAACATTCTTGCTATTCTTGTCAGGGGAGTCATGTGGGCATCTTCAGGTGGTGATGAGGCATCTGTCCGTTGACCTTGGCCTATTTTGATAAAGAGCTGCACTTGTGCATAGCATAGAAAGGAAGCATAAAGAAGAAACTCCCCCCCCCAACTTATACAGTTTATTCTCTCAAACCTCCAGCTCCCTTCCCATAACTATTTCTCCCCTCCTCCCCCCATTACTTATGACAGCCGAAAGATGCAAAGCAAAGGAAAGAAATCTTGAAGGCTGACAGGGGGTTTTCCTGGTCGCTTTTTCATCGCAGCGTAAAAGGTGTAGCTCTTCACATAACTGTCCACATCTTCCTTTATGCCAGGCCACCAGAATTGCCTTCGAGCCAAGTGTAAAGAACCAGAAGTGGCCTGCAGGTTTGGCATCGTGGCTCCTCTGAAGGACTAGAGTATGTAGGGATTCTGGGACATAGAGTTTTGTTTCTTTCCAGGCTAGGTCACTTCTTTTTGTTAAGATGTGTTGATTGTCCCGGAACCAATGGTCTGCTAGCAGTTCAGTTTTTAATTTAATGGTTAAGTCATCTGTGGGTCGGTCTGGTTAGTCTTGGAGTTGTCACCTGGTGGTTACTTGGGCAGCTATTTGGGTAGGGGGGGATGATGGCATTTATAATCTCCTCCCTTTTGCATTTATACTGGGGCATGTGAGAGAGGACATCAGCCAGAAAGTTCTTTCCCCCCGGGATGTGTTTTAGTTGAATCGGTTGAATTATTGGGCCCAGAGGACTTGTTTGGGTAATAGTTTTCATGGGTCCTAAGGCTTTCCAGATTTTTGTGGTCAGTCCAAACTTCAAATGGCTTCTGACCCCTTTCCAGCAGGTGACGCCAGGTCTGCAGTGCCCACTTTATCATGAAAGCCTCTTTTTCCCCATGCGGCCCATCACCTCTGTGAGTTGTGGGAGGTATAGGCACAGGGCTGTAGGTTTCCTTGGTCATTTCTTTGGAGTAACACTTCTCCCACTACCAGGTTTCTGGTATCTGCTTGAATGAGAAAGGGTTGTTTGGGGTCAGGGTGCTTCAGCACCGGTTCTTTTGCAAACAATTCTTTCAGCGTTTCAAATGATTTTTGGCAGGTTAGGTCCCACTGTAGGGGTTGTCCCGGGTGGGGTTTTGTTTCTGTGTTCCCTGATGTCAGGACTCAAACATGCACCCCCATTCAAATTATAAGTCTCTAACCGCATCTCTCAGAGTAAAAAAGATTGATTTATTAAGAGTTCACATGTTGGCATTTCCCGGTTGCAGCCGACTCTGACACATCATTCATTTCACCCTTGACCCTGGTCTTCCTCCCACCCCCTGGATGTATATTCTCCAATGAGACACATCCATAGCCAAGAGTCATCATGCTTTCCAGTAATAATCTTGCGCACCAGAAACTTCGGCTGCCAAAGTGATTATCTGAAGCATTTAAGGAATCCACTGCTTTCCCCCACTCCCTTTCTGCTGGCAATTAAAAAGACCAAATAAGTATTTTTTAGTTGACACCTATCTTTCTACCGTGTTTCTCACATAATAAGGCTGGGCCTTATTTTTTTTTTGAGCCCCGAAAAAACGGCTAGGCCATCTTTTGGGGGGTAACTTAATTTCCCCCCTTTCATCCTCATCTAGAGCACCCCGCGGGCAGCCTCGCCACCAGCCGCTCCTAACGGGCGATCATGGCGAAGCGCAGAGAGCTCCCTACTCCCACCAAACACCTTTGCTGCAGACCCAAGACCTTTGGCACCTGCCGCTGTTGCTTTCCCTTCTGCCCATTC